TTCTTTTCTTTGTATAGCTTAGCATTTTTCATAAGAGTGCAACCTGAACTCGTCTAATTCATTCAACTGCATAAGTCGTTTCTCACCTGCGGCTTCAAGGTCCATGTTCAGCTTCTTAATGGCCCAGTATGCCTTGTGTTCCAGCTCAACGGGCAAGTGACATGCCTTCCCATACACCAGCTTGTAAGGAGACGCTCCAATTGGCGTTTTGTAGGCCGTCCCATATGCCCATAGAGCATCATCCAACTTTGCAGCCCAATCTTTCCTATTCACACTCACCGTCTTCTCCAATATTTGCTTGATTTCTCTGTTTGACACCTCGGCTTGCCCACTTGTTTGCGGATGGTATGCTGTGGCAACTCTATGGCGAACTCCATATTTAGCTAGAAGGTTATTCAACAATCGATTACAAAAATGAGTCCCTTCATCACTGATTAAGGCTCGTGGAGTCCCAAATCTCGAGAATATGTTCTTTTTCACAAATGCAGCTACCACCATGGCATCATTCGTTGGCAAAGCAATTGCCTCCACCCATTTTGACACATAGTCAACGACTAGCAAAATGTATTTGTTTCCTCTGGACGGTGGAAATGTCCCCATAAAATCTATCCCCCACACATCAAAAAGCTCAACTTCTAGAATGTTATTTAAAGGCATCTCATGCCTTCTTGTGATTGTTCCCGTTCTCTGACATTGGTCACACTTCTTAACAAATGCATGGGCATCCTTGAATAAAGTCGGCCAAAAGAGACCGGATTGTAGCACCTTTGCAACTGTTCTATCTCCTCCATGATGGCCCACATAAGGTGATGCGTGGCAGTCATACAATACTAATTCTACCTCTTTTTCAGGAATGCATCTCCTCATCAACTGATCAGCAATTGCTTGAACAAATAGGGCTCATCCCAATAGTAGAAGTTCACATCATGTAAAAACCTCTTTCTAGCTTCAGATTCGATTTCGGGAGGAAGTACCCCACTCACCAGATAATTTACATAGTCTGCGTACCATGGGGGAGTGTCTTGGGTTATAGCAAAAAGTTGCTCATCAGGAAATGTTTCTTTAACTTGGCCACCCTCCTCCACGTGGTCGTGGTTTTCCAACCTTTATTGATGGTCAGCTACCTGGTTCTTTGTCCCCTTTCAATCTCGTATTTCTACATCAAATTCCTGCAGCAATAACACCCAACGCATCAATCTAGCCTTAGACTCCTTTTTGGTAAACAAATACCTGATCGCTGCATGATCGGTATGGACTATGACTTTTGTTCCCACCAAGTATGCCCGGAATTTCTCAAAGGCCCACACAACAGCTAACAACTCCTTCTCAGTGGTGGTGTAATTCAGCTGGGCATCATCAAGAGTCTTACTCGCATAGTAGATGGAATAAAACACCTTGTCCTTTCTCTGGCCTAACACTGCCCCGATAGCATGATCACTCGCATCACACATAAGTTCAAAAGGTAAAGACCAATCCGGTGCCACAATAATGGGAGCAGTCACCAACTTCTTTTTAAGTTCTTCAAATTTGTTGAGGCACGCATCATCAAAGTTGAATGTCACATCCTTTTCAAGCAACCTGCACAAAGGAGTAGCAATTTTTGAAAAATCTTTAATAAAGCGCCGATAGAAACCCGCGTGTCCCAAGAAACTCCGGACACCCTTCACTGAAATAGGTGGAGGTAATTTTTCAACCGCCTCCATCGCTCCTAGATACTCTATGACCTAGCACGATGCCTTCTTTTACCATAAAATGGCACTTTTCCCAATTTAGTACCAGATTCGTTTCTTCACAACGAGCTAGCACCTTGCTTAGATTCCTCAAGCAATCATCATAAGAAGACCCAAAAACTGAAAAGTCGTCCATAAACACTTCCACGAATTTTTCCACCATGTCGGTGAAAATAGCCATCATACATCTCTAGAAAGTGGCTGGTGCATTACAAAGACCAAACGGCATTCGCTTGAAGGCAAAAGTGTCGTAAGGACAAGTAAAAGTAGTCTTCTCCTGATCCTCTGGGCATATGACAATCTGATTGTATCCCTGAATAACCATCAAGGAAGCAGTAATATTCATGCCCGGCTAACCTGTCTAGCATTTGATCGATGAATGGGAGTGGGAAGTGATCCTTGCGAGTTGCCTTATTGAGCCTTCTATAATCAATGCAGACTCTCCATCCCGTAACAGTGCGAGTGGGGACTAACTCATTCTTCTCGTTCTTAACTACAGTCATTCCTCCCTTTTTGGGCACACATTGAACCGGGCTTACCCAGTTGCTATCAGAAATGGGAAAAATGATACCTGCATCGAGCAACTTGATTACTTCCTTTTTCACAACCTCCTTCATGATAGGATTCAATCTCCTTTGCTGCTCTACACTAGGGCGGTGTCCGTCCTCTAGAAAGATTTTATGCATGCAAAACGATGGACTAATACCTTTGATGTCAGCTATAGCCCACCCAATGGCCCTTTTATGCTCGCGGAGGACTCTGAGTAATTTTTCTTCTTGAGTGCTGGTCAAGCTGGATGAAATAATTACGGGCAGTGTCTCAGAGTTTCCTAAATAAGCATAGCGCAGATGCGCTGGAAGTGGCTTGAGTTCTAGCTTCGGAGCTTCTTCAATAGATGGCCTAGGGAGAGTTAGAGTAACAGGCCTGTCTAACTCTTCAAATTTTCTGAACCCATGTACATAACTGCAGGACATATCTAGCACTTGCTCGATTTCTCCTATTCTTTCATCTTCACTATTTTAAACATCCCCAATCAATACTCGTTCAACAGGATCTACAGGGCTCATATAGGGCACTAACGATGTCGCATCACTCTCCACCACCGAGATCATAGATAACTCTTCATAATGGGCTGGTAACTTCAGTGCTCTATAAACATTGAATACCTCCACTCGGTCACCTACTCTCATCGTCATCTTTCCTTCGCAGACATCAATAATAGCTCGACCCGTGGCTAAGAATGAATGCCCCAAAATAAATGGGACTTCCTGATCAGGCTCGTAATCCAGGATAATGAAATCAGCAGGGAATATGAAAGAGCCCACTTGAACTAACACATCTTCAATCACTCCCTCAGGATGAGCAAGGGAGCGATCAGCTAACTGTAAGATAACTGTCGTTGGGCGTGGTTCACCCAACCCTAACTGTCTGAACACACATAGTGGCATCAAATTGATGCTCGCCCCAAGATCACATAAAGCTCGCCCAACAACATGTTTACCAATGGAGATGTGGATAGTGAAACTACCTGGATCCTTCAATTTCTGAGGTAACTTGCCTTGAATTCTGGAGCTGCACTCCTCAGTGAGTGCCACAGTCTCGAACTCGGTCAGCCTCCTTTTATTTGCCGCAATATCCTTGATGTATTTTGCATATTTGGGTATTTCTTGTAAGATGTCAACCAATGGAATATTAATCTGCACCTGCTTCAAGATATCAAGAAACTTTTTATATGCGGCATTGTCTTTTAATTTCTGCAATCTTTGAGGGAATGGAGGTGGTGGCCTTGCAACCAATTGTGGGGGCTGCTCAGCCACCGCCTCTCCAGCTGGCTTCTCTGGCTCCGTGGCTTTCTCTGGTGTTGATGCTATAATGGCTGGCCTCTCAGTAAAAGTCACCTGTTTCCTCTTTTTAGGAGGAACTTCCTCGAGTTGTCTCCCATTTCTCAACGACACGGCATTCAGGGCCTCCTTAGGATTTGCTTCAGTGTCGCTTGGAAGAGCTCCAGCTGGTCTAGTGTTTTGAGCACTGGCCAGTTGTCCCACTTGACGCTCCAAATTTCTCATCGTTGTGGCGAGGGCTTGCTGATCAGCCATCACTTTCTAAGAGAGGGCTTGCTATTCAGCCATCACTTTCTTTAACATGTCTTCAAGGTGACTTGTAGGACTCGCTTGTTGTTCAACCTGAGGTGGTCTATATTGCCGTTGAGGTGCCTGAGGCCTGTATTGATTCTGAGTACCTTGGTTTCCACCCAAGAGAAGTTTGGGTGGTTCCTCCAGTTGGGATTGTAAGTGTTCCCATATTGGTTTGTTTGGCCCCTATTTGAATTACCCACAAAGCAGACGGACTATGGGTTAGCGGGGCATATGTCGCTCGTGTGCCCCTCTCCACATATTTCACAAAAAGCTTGAACCTGTTGTACTGGTTGTACTTGCTGCTTGTTGATACTAAAAGTCATCTGATTGACTTGGTTGGCCAGTGTAGAAATCTGCGCTGATAATGCTGAGACGACATCTAACTCAAGAACCCCTGCAGACTTTTGCACTGTGTATCTGCCCATCTCTCCTTGCCAATCCGGATTGCTCTTGGAGAATTTGTTCAATAATGCATATATCTCGTCAAAGCTTTTCTCCAACACTTGACCTCCAGCTGCAGCATCTACCACGATCTTTGTTTCAGAATGTAGCCCTTCTATGAACATGTGAGCTAATACTTCATTCGTCTGATTATGATGAGGACAGTCTCTGAGTAGCCCCTTGAACCTTTCCCAAGCTGAGTATAAAAATTCTCCCGCTTTCTGTTTGAAGGCAACTATCTCGCTTCTGATCTTTGCAGTTTTGCCTGAAGGGAAGAACCTTGCCAGAAATTTTCTTGCCAAATCGTTCCATGATGTAATGGAATTAGTTGGTTCTGCCTTTAGCCATCGCCTAGCCTCGCCCAACAGAGAGAATGGAAAAAGTGTGAGCCTCACATAATCTGGAGTGACCCCGTTAGTGATATAAGTATCACTAATCTCCAAGAAGTTCAAAATATGCTGCTGTGGATCCTCGTGTGGAAGACCCATAAATTGCCCGTTTGCATGAAGCAACTGGATCATGCTCTGTTTCAGCTCAAAGTGCCCAGTGATCCTGGGCTTCACTATACTGGAGGTGACATTAGCAATGCTGGGCATCGCCACCTCCTGAACAGCCATGGGTTGCTCCTCTGCCATGTCCACAGGAAATTGAACAAGTGCCTGAATATTATTCGTGTCCCTTGCTTCCCTCAACCTCCTGTGAAATGTTCTCTCAGGTTCAGGATCAAAGCCTTGAAGTCGGTCCTGGCTTCTGACCCTACGCATTCAATCAAAGTTCCTGAGATCCGAGCAACAATCAAGTAACGTTAGGCTCAACGAAATAAACAATTAAAGCAAAAACTAGCAAGTAGCTAATATTAAGTCCCCGGCAACGACGCCAAAAACTTATTGCTCCCAAACGCACACGCAAGTATACGTGGTCGTACAAGTAATAAAATGATAAGTCGAGTGTCAAACCCACAGAGACTTGTATCAACTACTCACTAACACACCAATATTGTTGTTCCGTCAAGCTAAATTCAAGTTCAAGAGTTTAATTATGCTAACTATAATTCTAAGTAACAACTAAATTATCAAGTAACGAGTTGATTGTTGTGTATTCAATAGAGACAAGTATTCCAGGGTTGTGATCGATTCACCAATCGTATTGTGTTCTAATTAACTCTCCCTTTTCATATAATTCACTCATGGTTACTAATTAATCGATAAGTGCTCTCATAGCCTTCTCCCGAAGTACTACTCACCTATCCTCAATAGATTAACGCCTATATTCCTATGGAATTAATCTATTAAGAACGCATTAAGATTACGATATTTAATTAAGCACGGTGATTAGGTATATTCCTATCCTAACCACAAATCCGCTCCCCCCTAAGGGTTAAGATCATGCTCTCTTCAATTCTTCTCTAATCTAAACACGGTTTTCCCAAGCATAGCATAGATAGTGAATAGAACCTAACTGCTGGCCAGACAATTAAGCAATTGAACACAGAATTGAAGAAACAACCATATATGAATGAATTAAAATCAAGGTCGAGTTTATTATCAAACAATAATATTCATGGCTTTCACAACCCCAGAACAATGGGTTTTAGCCACTCATGCTAGTGTGCATCACAATTAGGTTCAATTTCATCACAAATAGCAAAAACAAAGAGAAGAAAAGAAGAACTTGATAGTCCAAACTCCTCATTGCCTCTTGCCTCTCGATTCCTTCCACTCTACTATGAAAACCTCGATAATTTGATCTTGAGCGAGCTTGACTTTATATAGGTTAAGTAGGTTTCTTTCCAGCTTTCCAATTTTACCCCTAACTAGCATTTTTTTCCGGACGGCACTGCGCGAACTTTGTGCGACTTCGCGCATGTTTCGCGCACCCTTTCTGTCTCAGCTTGTAACCTGCGCGAACTCTGCACGACTTCGCGCACCTGGGCTTGATTTCTTCCAATTTTTCGTCTTGTTCTTGCACGCACTCAACTCCGAGGGATCGTTTTTGCCCATAAATCATTCCAATAACCTCTTGAAAGCATCATATAAGCTCCTCACCCTGCATTGTACACAAATCACAATTAGAGCCTATTTTTCATCAAATGACCATATTATGTCATTGAAATGTAATTAAGCGGAAGCATAAACAATAGCCAAATCACCTAGATTTCGCCTATTATCAAGCCCCACAGTTGAAGATACTGAGTCATGACTCATTGGGTGTATTTTTGACTCATTCGGGTTAGAGTTCAGTAGTTGAAGCTATATCTTATGAAAAGGCTCTTATTTTGTTGCCATTTTTGTCTGATCAAGGTTTAAATGCTCGATTATTAGAGAAGAAAAAGATTCTCTAACGTTTTTGGTATTTAATGTTCATTAAATACTGTATATGGACTCTCGTGTGCTATTAGATTCATTCTCTTTAATTCTTGGACTTAAAAGATACAGACGCTGAATCTTCCGCATAGCTGCTCGTGCCTCTTTTCATGCCTCTGCTCGTGCCTGTTGCAACTCGTACTTCTTTGGTAATCATAATTCTTTGATCAATCCACGTGTCATGACACGTCATCTTTATATGTAAGCTCAATTTTTCCCAATACATATAGTCCCCCTACTTGCCATTTATTCACCGATTGAAAATTTGGGAAGTGGAATTTCTTTGATGCAGGAATTTTTGTCACCATTAATGCTATGACATAATCGACTGTCCAGTTGTCACTTTTAATTAATGTTCTTGACACGTGTCATATTTTCATTGGTTCTGCAATTCTGCAGCACTTTTTATGGCTTTTTCTATGATTTCACTGTATACGAAGCGTCAGTTGTCATTATGACCCTTCCATCATTACACCTTTTCCCTTGACGGTTGCTTCTTAGTATAAATATAACTTCTTTCTTTGTCTTTACCACATAAAGTCTTTTGAACATTCAATTTCTCAAATCTTTGTTTGCTTCTTCCTTAAATCATCATGTCTTCATCAAACCCTAACCCTAGTAAGGTCTCCATAGTTGATAACTTCCCTAACGCTCCCAGTAGGAGCAGAAGAGGGGGTAAACTCCGTAATTTAGGATCTTCATCTGCACGCGGCTCTTCTGTTCCTTCTCCTAGTTCTGGTCCTTCTTCTAGAACTAGAGGTTCACTTTCACAAAGATCTTCTTCAAGAGGTAAAGAACCCTCTGAACCTCTTCGTGAGCCTACAGTAGAGGAGATAGTTCCTTCGGAACTATCTTTTTATCATGATAGAGAATCTCTTAGGAATCAAGTCTCTGGTTTAGATCGTGCTGATATCTTTCCCACTTAAATTACAGAAGTTTTGATTCCTGTAGTTCGTGGAGATTGCCATTGGAGTAGTGACTTTCCTATTATTATCCCCAATCCAAACCAAACAATTACCTCTTACATAACTAGGTATTCTTTTATTTATACATACCTTTTCACCTTAGGGTTTAAACCGGCTATTGACCCTGTTATTCTTGAGTTTTGTCGTTTCTTTGATGTCTGTTTTGGTCAAATTGGCCCAATTGTATCGAGGGTTGTTGCCTGTTTGAGGCATTTGACCAACACATCTGGTGTTCCCTTTACTTTACCTCATTTGATTCACCTTTATTCCCCTAGGCTCTTCCGCAATAGTATTTTCACACTAGCAGCCATGAGTAAGAGAGTTTTAGTGAGCCCTGAGAATGACAAAGACCGTGGCTGGTATGCCAGGTTTGTTGCTGCCCCCACTGTTGGTTTAGTGGGTGAAGATAATGTTCCCTTCCCTGAGAAGTGGAATTTTGCACGTAAGTCTTTTTAATTTTCTCGTGCCTTTTTTCTTCAAGTTTGTCAACTTTTCTAATTTTGCCTCTTTTTTTTAGTAACCATGGGAGTTGTGGAAAGTGTTCCTTCCGTGATTGGGTAGACAAGTTACTAAAGACTGCACCAATGGATGGTAGGTCTTGGAAGACACTTTCTAACCGATTTGGCTAGAAAGTAAAAACTCATGGTAAGAGTTTTTGTATTATTTCATTTTTCATATAATTTTTTTTAACACTAATTTCAATCCTTCTTTTTATCAGGATTTGCTATTCGGGGAGTTACTGCTGAAGCGGTTGCGGCTTCCCGCATCTCTTTAGGAACCCGTATCTCTTTAGAGAGGGCTCAAGAAATAGTATTGGGTTCTTTATCAAAGAGAAAAGTTGTTGAAGAAGAAGATTCTGAAGAAGAGGAGACGGGGGCTCTTTGGTGAGAAGGCCTCGAGCTCGAAGACGCATCATTTCTGATGATGAAGCTGAAGCATCCCCCCGCCATTCTATTCCTTTTACCGAGCCTGCTGAGGCCCCGATGGTGATTCCTATATCTGATGATGACGCTGCTCCCGTTGCTACATATGATTCAGTTGAGCAGCTTTTTATTAGCGGGTTTGGTAATGAAAGCTTAGGTCCAGTTTCTGATGAAGTTCCCCTGGCTTCTTTTTCTACTCCTGTGTCTGTGATTCCTTCTTTGCCAGTCTCGGCTGTTTCTGCTCCTCCCCAAGCTGCTGTCTTTACTAC